ACTGGATGCACCGGAACGGCTTGCACGTGCCTCCGGCGTGTACTTCCGGAGGGCCCGACGTATGGGATCACGTATGGTTCTGCGCGCGGCAGCGAGTGAAATATAACATAGACCAGGACGACGTGCTCAAGTTGGCCCTCGATGTGGCAGACATGCAGTGTAGCAAGAAACAACCTTTGAAGGGGTTCGGTGTGTCCGCAGGATACGACCGGGCCGACAAACCTGGTTTAATGCCGTAGTCAAACCTGACCCAAAATAATAGTTACATCCGATAAAGGGGCAGTGGTTGGCCCGAATGGTGGTAGAGACCCACCCGAATGGTGGTAATGACCCACCCGTGGTTGACCCACCCGTGGTTGACCCACCCGAATGGTGGGTAGTTGATAACACCTCGGTGCGTCTGTGACCAGGGTGATGACACCTCGGTGGCCACCTCAGGGTGATAGATCAGGGGGGAGGGGGGGTGCAGGTGCAGGGAGTAATTGAATGGAATGGACGAGCGTTCGAGTGTGGTGAGTGCTACCACGAACCTGCGGCCGGGGCGAGGTCCAGCGCCAGTGGATCCGTTGGAGATCAAGCGGATGTATATGGAAATGCGACGGATACGGGGTCAGGCGTTACGTGCGTTAAAGAACGCACCGAAACGGACGGTGGAGGCGGTTTACGACGACGTGGGTAATGCAGACGTGGACGAGTTTGAGGTGTTGCCACCGGGTGATCCGGACATCATTAAAGAGTTTCATTTGATGCTGCTGGATAGGGTGGAACCGAGTCGGCTGCACGAGCATTCCGCCTGCCTCAAGCTTTCGCCCTTCGCACTCGGCCGTGACCGGCGGCCCATGCAACGTCGATCCCATGAGCACACAAAAGCCGTAACCCGCGCGATTGCCCTTTCACGCAAACGGTTCCCCATCCTCGGCGAATCCGCTACCAGTGAACAACACTTAAGTTTCTTCGGAGACGACGTCGAACGGGTCGTCTACCAAGGCGACTCCCGTCTCTGGCTCTTTGCAGGCAGCGAGACCTCAGACACACACCCCATCATCTGGGGCACCGACGACACACCCGGTATCGTACACAAACTACTCGTCAAGTGTTTCACTCTCATGTCCGAGGATCGAGACATACAGGAACAGGCCCAACCGGCCACTACCATGGGGACCACTACCATGGGGACCACTACCATGGGGACCACTACCATGGGGACCACTACCATGGGGACCACTAATACGGGTGGGGGAATTACGGTCAAAATGGGTGGAACCAACGCAGGTGGAACCAGGCCGCCTCCGCCAGGCGGGTCCGTGGACACCCCGCGGTCAGAGGCGTCGCCACGGTCAGAAGCGTCGCCACTCTCAGACGCGTCGCCGCGGTCTTCGGCCGCCTCCTCTTCAGCCGCATCCTCTTCCGGGGCCGCGCGGTCTTCCGACGCGGCCGCCAAGGCGGCGGAGGCACAGGCGGTGCATCAGGCGTTGACAGTGTTAGGGTTGCCGGTGTGCACGACGGAGCAGGACCGGGAGACGGCGCCGCCGATGGCGGTGGCGGACTACGTGGTAAGTTTGTCGCTGCATGTGTTCCACGCCCGCGAGGAGGCGTACGTGTACAGGGAGATGCCGGGCGCTAGGGGCACGGGAGACGCTACGGGCACGGGGGGCGCTACGGGCACGGGGGGCGCTACGGGCACGGGAGTTGAGGGTGAGTTGGTGGTGACGACGTTGGAGGCTGCATTGGAGTTGGTACAGAGGATGCGAGAGTTTTGTTTCGCACGGGGTCGCGTGATGGCGAGTTTTATGGACACTTTGGTCACGGACCAGACGCGGTTTGGGACGTTTGCACGGATCACGAGTAGTCTGACGAGTTGTCAGTGTGTGCTTACCTTGCGCGTGGACCGGCGAGTGCGTCTGCTGTCGAGATGGACGGAGAGGCGGGAGGCGGAGAGTCGCGGGATAGCGCAGCCTGCGGTATACCAGACGCACCGTTGTCATCGAGGCACGATACATATCGTGGACGTGCCTTCTTGCGACTGTCTGGGTTTCCCCGACGGACGCAATGTCTCACCTAACCAATATAGCGTGCTCGAAGCCGCCTACGAAATGGGTACAAATGACCCGTTCAATGGAGACGACACCTACTTCGACCTACACATGGAATCCTCACCTCTCCTCCGTTTTCTCACGAATGTGCTCACAGAACCTTACACTGCCACCCGACTCAAAGCAAAGGAGTTCCAATGGAAATCGATGTACATTGTATCCACTACTTACACACCGTTAGACATCGTTACTGGCTTTCTTCGCATACTCAAAGACGTCATCGGTATGGCCCACAATCATAATATCCGACTTTCACCCGATGTATCCCAGCCAAAGAACACTTATTTTGATCCCTTTACTGTCCGTGAGTTTGGTGTTCTGCTCACTGGGGGCGCGGAATTGAATGCACATCTCACGACCGAGCCGGGGAGTGTCGGCTCCCGAGTGGCGGAAATCCTGGTGCAGAAATTGCCTCGACGCGGTGGACGTGTAGCAGGTGGAATGGCTTCCCGTTGGTTCCGAGAAACTTTCAAGTTGGCGCAACAGACGGAGCAGTTTGTACAGGGCGAAGGAATCGCGGCATCATTGCCCATTACGAAAATCCATCCCACAGCCCACTCTGCCGCGTTCGCATCACATCATCGCACACTTGGTGGTCGACATGTCAGTGAGTTGAGGTTGAACGCGGATCAAATCGTGGACTCACGGCTAGCAAGACGCAGAGCAATCCGCGTGGAAACGGAACGTGCAGCTCAGGAAATTTTTGCAGCCGGTGAAGATGAACTGGGCGTCGTCAGTGCGAACCGGATCCCGCAAATGCAGTATGAACGGGCGCGAAAAACGGCCAAGGAACTTGTGCACCAGTACGAGGCCCAACATCAGTTTGAAGGACTCACTCTAATGGAAATGAAGATGGCACTCGCTGCCGAACGCAAACAGAAAGAACTCGAATTGCTCGAAGACGTTGCCAATAGCGACTTGGATTGGGAAGAACGTCGCGAAAAGGCCCGGACTCGCGCTACTGAACTCAAGCAAGCACGAACTGGCGGCGGTGGTCTCTCGCCTCGCGGATCGGGAGGCCGCGGGTCAGATCCCGGTCGCGGAGAGGACAATCGGACTTCCGGTGTAAGATCGCCGCGAGCAACGTTTACAGGCCAGTTGTCGCCGCGGCAGCGAGCGTTACGAGGCAGTATGCGTAACTCGACCGTAGATTTGAACAGCCCCCGGACGGGCAGCCAGCGGTTGCTGGATAGCATTAAGCAAATCGCCGAGGACCTCGAACGCGATAGACAGGAGAAGGAGGCACGCAAACTGGCACTACAAGCAGCAAGCAGCTCCACCTCCAGCTCCGGATCTAGCAGCAGCTCCAGCTCGTCACCAGTCGATCTCAAGAAACCTATTAAAACCATAGCACTTCTACCCACCACTATTGTCCAGGATGGCCGCCGTCAACCTCCAGAAGAGGAAGAGGAAGACCTGGACGACTTCCCTCCCCGCAAAGACCGTGCACCTACCCCCGTACCGCACCGTCTCATCCTCCCACCCATGTCGCCTATCATTTCCGTAGACGACGACAGTGGTCCAGACAAAGGTGATCCGGGCGACGGAGACATGGACAGGGGATTTTCACCAGGCAGGTCTTCACCAGGCAGGTCTTCACCAGGCAGGTCTTCACCAGGCAGGTCTTCACACATCCAACTGAACATTCCTCGGTTGTCGCTGGAGAGTCTCGGCGATGGACCGCCTTCACCCAAGACCCGGACCGCGCCGCCGGTGCCCACCTTCAGCGTCCCCGGGATCAACTTGACTGCGGCTGAACCCCATCCTGGCTCGCCCCGCGGTCCTGGGCGTATCGCACCCATGAAGGCTTCCACGCAACTCCTCACCGTCCCCGGCCCCGACGCCCACAGCAAGCCACTTAAAGATCACATGGACAGCCACCAACCTCGCAGAGTAAGACTAGAACACGATGCCCGCCACGGCTCTGTAATGCCCGACTCTGCGAAGCCCGACTCTGCAACGCCGGACTCTGAATTGCCCGAGGCCGATACCGGGGCCGAAGAGGCGGGGATTGCGGAGCACAAAGACCCAAGTGAGCACCAAGAGAAGGAACACCAGGACCGCCGGTCGAACGCTGGTGAGCTCCTGGACAAGCTTAAGACCTTCCGGCGCAGCTCAATAGTTAGCAACATCGGCGAGCGCCTGGAGCGGTTCCGACGGGCGAATGCGAATGACCGCGAGGTCGGTCGGGGCGAAAACGAAGCGAAGGATCGGCGCGAGGACAAAGTGGGCGAGAACGGACTCGAGCACGCGCCCGCCGGCTCCAACCCGAACGACGACAATCTCACGGCAGGTCAGGCCGCGCCCGACGCCAAGGCCCCGGCGGTTGTCAAGACCGCGCGACCGCCGACCGACCCGACACCGCCCGTCCCTGTCATCAAGTCAACCACGAAACCCTTCCGGCCGATCCTGACCGCGCCCGGTTTAGCAGGGCAGGCGGTCGCGGCCGGGAAGGACGCGGAGAAGGACGCGACCGGAAAAGACGCGGAGGCAACGGGTGCAGGGGCAACGGGTGCGGAGGCAACGGGAGAGAAGGGAGTGGGAGAGAAGGGAGCGGGTGCGGAGGCAACGGGAGAGAAGGGAGTGGGAGAGAAGGGAG